GCTTTAAATCTGATGCAGTAAAGTGAGCCAAAATTAGCTGCATTATAACTATATTCTATAGGTATACAAGTTCTGTGATATCTATGTTGGGACTGATCTCTTAATCTTTACTACTCTTGATTATAATCTTAAAGTTGTGTAACTTTTGTCCTGATTTCTAATTAATGTTCTGCATGTAGAAAGTTTATAAAACTATACCTGCAAGCGTTTATCTCTAGCCCTTTTAACCGCTTCTAATATATCTCAACAGCATTAGTCAGATTTAGATTATGCGTATGGAAGCAGAATCGTGAGGATAAATGTAGGATAACACAATGGTATCAGTTAATTACATTGCAACTAAATTTAAACAGTGGGTGGCCTTATTTTTTGGAAATTATCTAAGGAATCTACAGCAGTAGGAGAGCAGTTTATCTCCATGTAGTCAGTGGTCATTCTAACTGGGGAAACAGACTTGGCTAGGGCACAAAACAAACTATACTTAAGCAAATCGGCATAATTAAAAACAACAGAGAAATGCATGCTAAAATATTTATTGAGAGTAGTAATAGTATTTTATATGATTTGGACTAAAACTGAACATTTGCTTGAACATTTTGCGAGTAATTGCCCAGATTTTCAGTCATTGGCAAAGCTTGCTGCTGACCTCAAAGAAGGCTTCCCACAAAAATCTAGTGACCTCTGCTGTGGATTTTTATTCTCCTTATATTAGTTTGAATTTGGTGTTACGTCAGGACATCTTGAATCAGTGATACCACCAAACCAATTACATTTTTAAGTATGGTCATAGCAAACCAGGAAATAAATGCACTCCACTTGCAGTTAAAGTTTTTTATAGAATGAAATAAATGATTGGAAATTTCATAAGGGATTAAGACAGAAGTTAAAACATCATAAACTTAATAAAGTAGAAAAATACGTTAATATTTATCAGAAGGTTGGCATTTACAAATTTAAATGTTTTTTAGAGAAGTTTTTCAATAGTAGATATGAACTCTATTATTATTCCATTACTATCCCAGTTACACCTCATTCAATGATGTTAAACCTTTAAAGGATGTTTATAGAAAGGCCAACAGAATAAAAGGATATGCTTTCATCAATATAGCAAATCCTATTTGATTACAGTCTGCAGGGACTTCCACAGTCCATCCTATTGTGAAGCATGGAATCACTAACAGCAACTTTTGCTATCAGTTTCAAAGGATTAACGAAGGTGAATACTGACATGTTCATTTTTATTATTACTACAAAACTTGGCCTGGTAGAAGGAGTTTCTTTTGGTCCCAGAAGTAAATAGGTGAATAGTTTCACCAGCCTTTCATCTGTGTTGCTAAGGTTTTGACAGTTGAATGTGATTTTTTTTTTTAAAAAGAATTATTTCACAGACTGGTTAAAATCTAAATTGTGTGCAGATAAAAACATGCAGTTCATTCATTGTGGAATGTATTAGACATTGATTAATTGAGCAAACATCACATTGTTGTTCTGAAGGTCAGATCATGGAAATAATTGATAAATAGCTCAAGGAAATGGTTGTGACTGCAGATTTAATCATATGTGTGTAATAAAATTCAATTCCACAAGTAGCCATGGAAGTTACCACAAAATCTAGTGTTTTCTGCAGAATTGACCACCTGTGGAACAAGCGATAAGAACATATCTGATAGTTTTAGGAATGCCATTTATTAGATGAAACAGAAAATCTGATGCATTGAGGTGCAAGTTTGTTCCATAGAATTTCCCCATAGCTCGAAATGTAAATGATCGTGGGTAGCATTTCTTACCTGATATTATTGAGAAAGAACTTTGATAACAGACTTGAGATTGCTGCAGAAAATTCTAGCCAGCAATTCTAAAGAATTAAATAGGACAACAACCTCACTGAATTATAACATTTTTTGTGGGTTCTTTTATAACATTTTGAGTACATGAGATGAGGTAGTTATATCTGTTTGAGCCATCTGCCATGGCTCAATTTTTAAATAGCATTAGGATTTGAACACTTCAAGATGTTTCTGCCCAAGGTGTTATAATCATGTCCTTTCTTTGAGTGGTTGCTGCTGCCAAACTTTCTTTTAGCGTGAGTCTATGGTATTGTTAGTAGAATGTGCTGAAGGATGAATGACTAGTAATTTGCAGCAGAAGAGGCACCTGTTTTCAGTAACAAGGTACATTTATTGCATCACATTAACTATTTCAAGATTAACTTGTACTGATGGTGACATGAAAAGTAGAAACTGTGATCGTCTCCATCTACAATTGCTCAGAACTATCTGAACTGCCTCCAAATGCCTGATGCTCCACCCAGTAGTTGTATTACATATCAGAATGGGTGGAGCTTCAGTTTAACTCCTAACTGATCCATTTCCACAAACATCACACCTTCTTTTCTGAAGTATAATCTAACTTGCGTTTTGTAGCTCTGGAACTTGTGCATCTTTCCAAATGCTATAGTACCCTTGCTGTATTCTAGTGACTTGAGTTGTAGCCAGTACTCAAAAGAGGGATGAGCTCATTCACAATGTAGACTCATCAACACATTCATTGATTTATGCTCTATATATCACATGTTTTGCAACCTAAGAGTCTATTTGTTTTACTTAGGCTACTTGGCCTTGTAGTTGATTTTAATAATCTATCCACCAATTGTTTTCCTGTACTTTCAGGTTATTTTGTTTATTGTTTCAGTCTTTACTCTCCTTTTGTCTTGGCACTTTGCAGTTTTCAATGCTACGTTTACTTTGTTATTTCTCTGCCTAAATTTTGAACATATTTTTTGCTTCTTAATCCTGGTTTTCTTGCTCTTTTTTTGTTTGTAAGATACAAGTCAAAAATATAATGGACTACTTCTTTCTTGCCTGAATAAGTGCAACTCCAACGCCACTCAAGAAACTTGAAACTAACTAGGACAAAACACCACATCCACAGACATTCACTTCCTCCTTCACCGATGCATAAGTTCATGGAGGCTCCTTAGACAGCACCTTCAAAACCCTAGAAGGTCCCATCTAGAAGGACAAAGGCAGCAGATACAAAAGTGAACCACTCACTTGCAAGTTCCCCTGCACAGCACTCTCTGTCCTGACATGGAAATATATCACTGTATCTTCAGTGTCAGTGGGTCAAAATCCTGGAACTCCCTCCAGAACAGTGTTTTGCTGGGCGGACCTATACCAAATGGGCTGTACAGGCTCACAAAGGCAGCGTATCACCCATCTTCTCAAGGGACAACTAGAAATGTGCAATAAATGTTGTTCCAACATTGCCTACACCCCCTGGATGAATAATTAAAAACAAACCCTGCCCTCAACCTCCCCAGTTTTGGCAGAATTTTCTCTGTTTTCATGTCCATGTTATGCAAGCTTCCATTTTGTAACAGGCCCTGGAGATTTTCAGTCTTCTCTGAAATAAACATTTTTGTAGTTTGGTTTTAAAACTATCTTTTAGTTTGAATCGAAGTGGAGTGTATCACTACTTAAAAAATGAAAAGGGCTTTTCCACTTTCCATAGAATCCCTACAGTGTGAAAACAAGCTGTTTGGCCCAATGACTCCACACCGACGAGCATCCCACCCATACTCAGCCCATTCCTGTAACCCTGCATTTCTCATGGCTAACCTACATAGCCCTGGACACTATGGGTAATCCAGCATGGCTGATCCACCTAACTTACACATCTTTGGACTGTGGGAGGAAACCGGAGGAAACCCACACAGACATGGGGAGAATGTGCAAACTCCACACAGACAGTCGCCCGAGGGTGGAATCGAACCTGTGTCCCTGACCCTGTGAGGCAGCAGTGCTAACCACTGAGCCATTGTGCCACTTTGTGCATCCATTTTCTGTATCCTATATTTCTACCCCAGTTACAGATAACAGTCCCACTAATTCTAATATTTTGACTTTTTTGAGTTATGATTATGTATCCAAACCAATCAGGGAGAGGATTGGGACTGTCTTAATATGTTCCATACAAGATTGTGCATGTTGCAGTGTTTGATTAATTCCTAATACAATATCATTATCAGGACCAAAAACAAAGTTGCTAGAAAAGCTCAGCAGGTCTGTAGCATCTGTGAAGAAAAAATCAGAGTTAACATTAACTCTGATTTTTTCTTTACAGATGCTGCCAGACCTGCTGAGCTTTTCTAGCAACTTTGTTTTTATTCCTGATTTACAGCATCTGCAGTTCTTTCGGTTTTTACAACATCATTATGTTCACTTACAATTTGTTTTTAAAATCAGCTGTGAAAATTATTCAAGTTGAGAGAAAAACAACTGCAGGCCTTGGGAATGGTTTAATGAGAAATAATCACCGAGCTGGGACTGAAATACAAGTGTGACATGCATCAATCAATTTTTTCCATTTTTTTTCATGCAATGTGAGCACGTGGGTGGTACGGTGGCTCAGTGGTTAGCACTGCCTCACAGCACCAGGGTCCTGGGTTCAATTCAATCCTTGGGTGACTGTCTGTGTGGAGTTTGCACACTCTCCCTGCATCTGCATGCATTTCCTCCAGATGCTCTGGTCCCTCCCCCGCCCCTCTTCAGTCAAAAGATGTGCAGGTTAGGTGGATTAGCCATGGAAAATGAGGGGTTGCAGGGATGGGATGGGTCTGGGTAGGATGCTGTTTGGAGGTTTGGTGTGGACTTGATGGGCTGAACGGCCTGCTTCCACACTAGGGATTCTATGATAATCATTGGCAAGACATTTGTTTCCCATTCCTAATTGCCTTTGAGAAGGTGGTGATGTGCTGTCTTCAGCAGCTACATTTAATCTGGTGCAGGTACATTCACGGTGCTGTTTGGAAAGAAATTTCAGGGTTTTGGCCTAATGATAATGAAAGAACTTGAGATATAGATCCAGGTCATGATGGTATATAGCTTGGAGAGGAGTTTGTGGGTGGTGGTAATTTTTTTCAATTAAACCAGTGATTCTTGTATGAATTCAGATGATTTGTAGACCACATGTAACATTTCTTCTCAATTTATTTATAGGTGGAAATTGCGGAGATCTGCGCAAAGTGTGAGCGGTACATTGGCACTGAAGGTGGGGGTATGGACCAGTCGATTTCATTCCTGGCAGAGAAAGGAATGGTGTGTGATTTGTAAATTTGAAATTTTTGGAAATGTCATCACTTCTGTGAAGTAGCTGCCGTGCTGTATGTCCAATACTTAAGATATTATTTTCAGATATTATTTTTATTTCACATTAAAAAGAGGAAATTAAACATAATTTTTAAAAGGAAAAATTCAATAGTTTCACGATTTTTATGAGTACATTGAACTACATCATTCAAAAGGTGAAAATGAAGTAATCAAAGAGATGTATGCATTGGTTGTATTTCTCCAAAAATCCTTGGATTCTGGAGATGTACTAGAGGCTTGAAAAACTGCCAAAATTCCAAGAAGGAAAGGAGGCAAAAAGCAGATAACTATAGGCTGATTAGCCTGACAACTATTGTTGTAAAAGTAGTGGAATCAATTATTAAGGAAATACTGGAAGAACATTTGGAAAATCATAATCTAATCAGGCAGAGTCAACATGGCTTCATGAAAGGGAAATCATGTCTGAGTAATTTGAGGGTTTTTTTGAGGAAGTCTCAACCAAAGTGGATAGACAGTAACCAGCAGGTGTGTTGTGTTGTATTTGGATTTCCAGAAGGCATTGGACAAGGTACCTCACAACAAGTTAAGTCATAAGACAAGAGCCGTTGGTGTTAGATTTAGTATATTTTTGTTGCTTCAATACAATGAAACTAACCTGTCCCAGCAAACACATCCCCAGGCAAATTGAAACCCAAAACCTGAAATTCCACCTATCTCATTTACAATGTATTTCCCAGGCTGCCCTTAATCTGACCTTTGGTATTTACTCAATGCATTGGAGCTAAGTTAGCTCCAACTGTATGGACAGGCATTATTGCAAGCTTTGAAGACACCACACGCACAGCTGAGAATGACCTGCTATCTTTATAGCTCCACCTCTTCTATTTTTGACTCTATATATTTTAAAAAAAAGGCAACCTTCTAAACTGCCATTTGTTTTAGGTTATCTGGGAATCACTAAAGTTCCACATGTTAATGACCTTACCTTCCCAGCTGTTAGTCTCTGAAAGTAACATGAACCCAACATTTTAAGTGAGGGTGCTTAATTTGTATTTGTTCCATTTTCTACTGATAAAGTTTAATTCCTGAAACTAAAAATCGTGTACTAAAATACATTAACTGTGAACTAGACATTTGCAAGAGAAAGCATCTTAAAATCCCCTAGGGAATGAAAGGAGAAATAAGCCATACTTATAATAATATCTTGGAATTGAACAATGAAGTATATTTTCATTAGAAGCATCTGGCAATTTGAAAACTCATTATACACAATAACTGCAGTGAACAAATGCCTTGAAGTATTATGTGGCAAGCAATCAATGACTGGTCAGAGTCCTTGCACATTTTAAACTTTTAATTCCAAAATCTGTACTACTTAAAAGAAGGATGGCTACAGAAAAATTGTGGCTTTAAATTCAGTGACTGTCTGGCAAAGACTTGTGGGAAGCCCATGGAATATTGCACCGGTAAATTGTCAGGGAAACTTCAAACAGGGAGAGATTTAAGAAGAAGCAATGAAGCAGGTGACCGTCTCACCCTTCTCAGCAGAGCGCCACCTCTTGCAGAAAAGTCTGTATCGCTCTCCAAGAATTTACAGAAAAATAGGGTTAAAAAGCTAGTTTATAATCTGGAGTGGATTAGTGGGACTGAATGCTGTCATGTGTACTTTCCTGGGCTTGACCATTAGCTTGCTGTGAAATTTATAGTCGAAAAATTGTCCCTAGTTATCCCTATGTTGTATGTAAAGGAAGACCCTCTCTTACTCTCTGTTACGAGGAGGAATCAGGATGGAGGAGCTGTAATCAGCCTACAAAAACCAAGACTTTTGAAACTGACTGTTCAACTACTAATGTCAATGCTGCCAGTACCTCTACTTTAATAGCAGCAACTACTTCTTTTCGCAAGTAATTCAACGATTGATCTACATATTTATTTTCTCAACTTTTATCTCCATTTATTTCAAGTCTGTGTTTTCTGTTACTGTTGCTTTTCACATTTCTTAATTAATAAACTCACTTTATGATAATTCAAGAAAGTCTGGTTAAATTGGCTTCTCTTAAAAATAAGTTCATTTTGATCAGGGAGAAAGGTATCCTCAAGGGAAGGGATGCTTTATAAATTACCTTTGTTGTAGTCAACCAGTGTGGGTGGGTGAATAAGGGGAGCAAGTTCATCCGTCTTCACCAGGAAACTTAACAGTTTGAGTTATTTCATTTGGAACCATAATGTCATAACACAATCTAAATAACAAAACTTTAAGGAGAGTAATAGACAATTTTCTTTTATTCTGCTGGATTTCTTTGAGAAGTTAATGAAAGCTCATGAATTGGAACTCATGCTTTACAGCTACATAGTGGAAGGATACTTATGATAAAGTTCTATATATGAGAAGACTTTGAAGGAAGGCTAGTGCTCAAGTTAGCAATTGTTTATCCAATTGTATTGAAACATAGCTTTTACAGTATAAAAGGTTGCAATGAGTGCTTTGGTTGGAACAATGATGGTTAAATTTCTGCAGGTATCCCTTTTAGGCCTTGTTTTAATTTGATCATGAAAAATGGGTGTTGTTGGTAATTGCCATCTCTACTTGCTGTGAAGAAGGTGTTGGAGAGCTGCCTCAACCACAGCAGTCCTTGGGTGCAGAGACACTCAATGTTGTTTGCAAAGGCATTCCAGGATTTTGATTCAGTAAGAGTGAATAGTTCCAAGTCAGAATGGTATATAGCTTGGAGAGAAACTTACAGGTTTAATGCTTAATACTTGTCACTGACAATGTTTGTACCTGATTTGAAAATGAGTATTTGAAATATTAGAATATTTGATGATGATGCCATGTGTGTATTCCAAGAGGACAACACAAGAATTAAATACTCAATTGCCCCTTTTGTTTCACCGACCCATTTCCTTTATTTGCAAAGCACAGACCAAAGTAACCAAATACTCAGAAAGACATGCTATTCTGAATGGACTGTGAATGACATTTAGTGAGAGTGCCCGATTAGTTTTGAACAGGGGTAGATGTCTAGAGTTTTGCTTGATGATTTTTGAAGGACAGGGGTGGGATGGTGGCACAGCGCCAGGGACCCGGGTTCAATTCCAGCCTTGGGCAACTGTCTGTGCGGAGTTTGCACATTCTCCCTGTGTCTGCGTGGTTTTCCTCCCACAGCCGAAAGATATGCAGGCTAGGTGGATTGGCCATGCTAAATTGCCCATAGTGCCCAGGGATGTGCAGGCTAGGTGGATTAGCCGTGGGAAATGCAGGGTTACTGGGATAGGGTAGGTGGGTAGGTTTGGGTGGGATGCTGTTTGGAGGGTTGGTGTGTTCTTGATGGGTCAAATGGCCTGCTCTTACACAGTAACGATTCTATGAAAAGAAAATTCTATATATGCAGAGCTTGCTTGAATATATAGAATAATGTCCATTATAGGATAGCTTGCATTAAGTTTTAGTCCATTTATGAGAACTTCACAGTAACTTCTTGTTGGGCAAAATGTAATTTTAAAACTATATTTTTAAGAACTTCATATATTTGTATAAAATTGCATTTGATCACTTTTATTTATCAATAGGTCTTTTGTAGTGTGCAGTATTTGTAAATGGGACGTCATATTTTCTGAATACACTTTATGCTGAAATATAGTAATGTTGATATGAACTGCAGAATTGGCAGCAGTATTTTTAATCATAATTTCAGTATTAATAATTGAGCGAAATATAATTTCATGCTCAGTAGGTATGCAACAGGGATATTCTCAGTAGGAATGCTACTGCTGACAAGTTATTATCTACCAGACTTGGCAAATTTTGCTGCAGTTGGCAATAACATAGTCTGAGGCCCAAGCAATCATAGTGTTTCTCTCTTACGTTTTCGTTGAGATTCAGGCAATACAAGATCTTCAAACATACAATGTAAATCACATGGAGTGGAATGTTGGGTCAATTGTAAATGTTACACTGTTCATCGCAGGTACTCATAATAGACCTGATTCTTTTCTAATGTTTTTACTTAAATTCAGAAGAATAGGGACATATGGAAAAGACAAACATATTTTTCCCAGTTCTGCACAAAGTCCCACACTCGAGCCCCAGCTTTGAGAATTCTAGTTCTGTGAACCCGACCTTTAAAAATGGCCTACCACACACCACAATTTCAGTCTGCTGTCATGAGCTGGTCTGAATTGGAAGTCAGACCAAGTGACACAGGAGTAGCTGAGGACCTGCCAGTTCCTGAGGCAGACTGGAAGAAGGCCTGCCTTGGTGCTCAAGCACTGTGTTCAAAAATTAAATAAAAGAATAAAATTTATAAATTCCATAAGCCCTCACCCCTCACATCCTAATCATTCCACTCATCTTCTTGTCCCATCCATGCCAACCTATGCCATATAAAATCTTCTTCCCACCGCTACTGCCTGTTATACTCTGGTGCCAATTTAGTGCTTATTTCCATCCACCACGCTTTCCCACCTTGTGTACACAAGTGCCCATGCAAACAGAAAAGAAATGGAGGCCAATTACTTAAAAAGTTCGATAGTGCAGACTACATTTTATTGAGCGGTCATTCATAAAAACAACCTTTGACAGGTGTTGACAGTTCTTGAAAGGTCAATGCTTATTGACACACTTGGCAGCTCTCAGCAGATTGGACAGTTTCAGTGGGTTTATGCCATTTTACTCACAACCTTTATTATGCCTTCCAATCCAAAGAGCATCTGATTCCCTTCCACCCTGAAATTATAACTGAACTCCCTCCAAGGTTTCTTGGGGCATATTCACATGAGTACCCCACCTCTCCAAAGGGGCACGCAGGCTATCCAAAAGAAATAGCCTGAGAACAGACCTGCTCTTACTTTAAATCCAGACAGCAGAGTCTTTAATACCTGGCTCAAATGGAGGCAACCTTCCTGAAATGCTCATGCACAACCTTTGGACCACCCCTACGACAATGGCAAATGCTGGGTTCAGAGGTGGGACTTAGGATTTCTCATATCTTCTGCCATTTTCACCGCAACGGAGAAGCTTTCTGTGGTGAAAATCAGCTCCAAAACGTTCTTTCTTTCCACGGATGATGCTGATTTAATCTGTGGTGGTGATTCCATCCTATACCTAATTCGAATATGTATTCTTTTTACGTGAGCCCATTGTGTGTGTGGGAGGCTGTTTGACTGAAGATGACATTACCGCTCAGCTCAATCTTGCTTTCACATCAATATGCATACAATTTCCAGGAAGCACAACTAGAAAACAAAGAGCAGTGGTAACTCTGCTGTATCTCATGGGTGCTGAGGCTGCTTGTATTTAAATGGAGGTATAAACAAATCACAACAAACAATTTGTTGCACAGTCAATACTCTATACGAGCAATGATTCTCATTCCATCAATGTACTTTTTATATATCCCTTACTTCTTTCCCTTCTGCCCTCTATATCTAACCTGTATATAAAATGTTAATTTGTTCCCAGTTTCAATCACTGACATTTCCCAACCTCGATATAGTCTGTGAAGAAAGGAAATTTCTCCTGCTCTCTTAAATCACTTGTATTTAATATTTTATTTCTGCACCTATATTAGAGATTGTCCCTCAATGGAAGTGGTCTCTTTTGATCTTCTCAATTTTAAACATCTTTATGGAATCATCATATAATTTTGAATGTTTTTTTGAATGTAAGCAACCTAACCACCTTTTGCTACCAACCAACTGGACAATGCCTAGTGAAAAATCAATTATTTACTTTGCACTCAAGTTGCCAACTGAGTGGATGGGGGTCAAAGCAACCATTAATCAAACGACATTACTACATTAGAGGTATACATAATTTTGCGGACTCCATAACTTTGGATTCCTATGCTGGGTGCCCTGAATCTATTTGCCAGACAATGCACCCGAGTCATCTGTATAATTTGCCACTTTATTTTTCATAGGCCAAGTTGATTGAATTCAACCCACTTCGCACCATCAACGTAAAACTTCCAAAAGGAGCTGTGTTTGTGATCGCGAACAGTTGCATAGAAATGAATAAAGCTGCAACAGCTCATTACAATATCAGAGTTGTGGAATGTCGACTTGCAACAAAGGTAAGTTTGTTTTCCTTTTTCCTGATGTCTGGTGACCAAGGTGAATAGATTTAAGGAAAGGGGCAGGAGGTTTAGAGGAGGTGCGAGGAAGACACCTGTTCACCCAGAGGGTGTTAGGAATCTAGAACTCACTGCCTATAAGGGTGGTAGAGGCAGAAACCCTCATAACATTTAAGGTGTATTTAGATGTACACTGGCAATGCCAAGGTATAAAAGTATATGGGCCAAGTGCTGGAAAATGGCATTAGAATAGTTAGGTGATAGGTTTGATCGGTGCAGGGGCAGCAGGACCTTTTTCTGTGCTGTAGATCCCTACAATGTACAACAGAGCATGATGCATGGTTGCTGTGGATGTGTGGGATATATCTGTCAAAATTTTGTAATTTATAAACAGCATCGTACATGTAGGAACAGCAATCAAAAAGGAATCTGTTTGTTGCAATTCTGCTTGTAAATTAAATTTAAAATAATAAACGTTGTTACAAAATCAATCTTTAAGAAAAGATCATATCACAAATCTTTAAAATTATCCATTTCCCTTCTTTGGTATTTTACTGAAGGAATGGTGCATTGTTAGTTGTTTATCATTTATATGTGATATTAAAATGCTATATTTTCCAGTGGACTTTATACACACAGTGGAAACAGGAAATTGTCGGAATGTCTTGATCAACATTCTTAGCTAAACCATTATTACCAGACAAGAAAACGACCAGCTGATCATTTAACTAGTTCTTCTCAATGTAATTTGTCAGCAGTTATTTACATGAGGTAACAGTGACTTGGTGTGTAATTTATATTCGTTTGTCTTTCCACATCTAAATTTTTTAAACATGCTAAAAATGTACACCCATTCACTATCACTAAAATAGTTGTCTGCCCAAGTAATGGATGTTTGCACAGCAAGGGTTAATTTCTCAAAAGAGGAAGATCGGAGAAATAATTCCAGAACTCCCTGGATGACAAAGGAGATAGAAATAAAAAGTGTGCCTTTGAAAGGTGTTGGATTATAAGTCAGTTGGTTTCTTCATATGAACATGATTGTGGTTGTTGGAGGTCATCACCATCTTCTCAATGGCAACTAGGGAGGGGCAATAAATGCTGGCCAGCCATGCTCATGTCACAGGAGAGAATCAAAAAAGAATCAAGCGGTATGCAGAAGGTTTTGAAAGAATGTGATAAAGCACATACAAGAGCAAAGAGGGTTTATGAAAAAAGACTGAAAGCTAGCATAAAACGGAATTCCAAAATCAACATTAAACACTGAAAAGGGTGGCAAAAGGAGGAATAGGGCTGATTTGGCGCCAAAAAGGGGATTTACACTTGATTCAAGAATGATGGTTGAGGTGTTAAATAAATACTTCCATCGATTTTTACAAATGGATTAAATGCTGCCCAGTACATAGTTACAGAGGCGGAAACTCCATCACTGGAAAGCTTTAAAATTGATAAGGAAGAAGTATTTGATATGTTGTTGGTATTTAAAGTTTATGAGACACCAGGATCGGATGAGATATATGCTTGTGGAAAGTGAGGGTGGAAATTGCAGAGGCATTAACCACAATCTTTCAGTTGTCCCTGGACTTGGAGGGGGACATGGTGAGGGAGCACTAGAGAACTTATAGACCAGTCAGTTCAACTGAAAGAATTGCAGATGCTGTAAATCAGAAACAAAAACAGAGGTTGCTGGAAAAGCTCAGCAGGTCTGGCAATTCCTCAGAGGAAGGGGGCCAAAAGTTTTGTATTGGAGGTCCTCCAGGGTGTCATTGGGACCCTTGCTTTTCCTAATATATATAAATGATCCAATTTTGGGCTGGGAGCTAATTTCAAAGTTTGCCGACAAACCAAAACTTGGGAGAATTGTAAACTGAGGAGGACAGTATAGAACTTCTAAAGGATTTTGGCATATTGGTGGTTTGGGAAGTTAGGGGGCAGCTGAAGTTCAATGCAGTGAAGTGTGAGGTGAGTCATTTGATACAAAGAACATAAGAACATGGGGAGACAGTATAATATAAAGGCTAGTATTGTAAAAGGTTTGCAGGATCAGTGAGACCTGGGTGTTTATGTGCAGAAATTATTAAAGGTTGCAGAAGGGGTAGAGAAAGCTGCTAATAAACTTCATAAAATCCCTACAGTGTGGAAACAGGCCCTTCAGCCCAACAAGTCCACACCGACTCTCAGAGCATCCCACCCAGGCCCAACCCCCTATAACCCGCCTAATCTACACATCCCTGAACACTACGGGAAATTTAGCATGGCCAATCCACCTAGCCTGCACATCTTTGGACTGTGGGAGGAAACTGGAGCATCCGGAGGAAACCGGAGCATCCGGAGGAAACCCACGCAGACACTAGGGAGGACGTGCAAACTCCACACAGACAGTCGCCCGAGCGTGGAATCGAACCCGGGTCCCTGGCGCTGTGAGGCAGCAGTGCTAACCACTGAGCCACTGTGCTGCCATTCAGAAATCACATGACACCAGGTTATAGTCTGAGATAACAAGGTGTAGAGCTGGATGAACACAGCAGGCCAAGCAGCATCAGAGGAGCAGGAAGGCTGACGTTTCGGGCCTAGGGGTGTGACAGCTTTGTTTGACAACACAAGCTTTTGAAGCCTTCTTCAGACTCACTAACACCCGAAGAAAGACTGGCGGTCTGAAAGCTTGTGTTTTCAAATAAACCTGTTGGATTATAACCTGGTGTTGTGTGATTTCTGAATGGCGGCACAGTGGCTCAGTGGTTAGCACTGCTGCCTGTATAAAGCATACAGTATTCTAGGCTTCATAAATAAGGATATACAGTAAAAGAACAGTATTTGATACACTTATATTAGACAGGGGTTAGACCTCACCTGGAGTATTGTGTACAGCTCAGGGCACCACACTGTAGGAGGAATGTCGATGCATTGGAGAGAGTGCAGAAGAGGTTCCAGGGATTAGACAATTCAGTTATGAGGAAAGTTGGGAGAATTTGGACCTATTTTCCTTGGAGAGAAGATTTGAATGCAGTGGTCGGAAGCAATGTAGATGAGGGGAATCAAATCCAGATCTAGGTGAGGAACTGGGCTGAATGCTAAATAAAAACCAAAAGAACTGCGGATGCTGTAAATCAGGAACAAAAACAAAGTTGCTGGAAAAGCTCAGCAAGTCTGGCAGCATCTGTGGAGGAGAAAACAGAGTTAACATTTCGGGTCCGGTGACCCTTCCTCAGAACTGATGGTGGCTGGGAAAACGTCAGTTTATATGCAGAAAATAGGGAGGTGGGTGGGGTAGGGAGTAAACGATAGGATAGACCCCAAAGAGAGAGAAAGACAGTTGGACAGACAAAGGAGTTGCTAATGATCAGGCTGGGAGGGTGAATAGTTGTTAATGGGGACTGTTAATGACTAACAACAGGGGGTGGGTAGTGGCAGGCTATGTGGTAACAAGGCCTGGTGTGTGGGGTGGGGGGCTGGGACATGGGAGAGTTTAGGCCCTAAAATTATTGAACTCAATATTTCGTCCGGAGGGCTGTAGGGTCCCCAAGCGGAAAATGAGGTGCTGTTCCTCCAGCTTGCACTGGGTTTCACTGGAACACTGTAGCAAGCCAGAGACAGAGATGTTGTCCAGGGAGCAGGGTGGTGCATTGACGTGGCAGGGAACAGGTAGTTCATGGTCTTTTTTGCGAGCAGAACGTAGATGTTCTGCGAAGCGGTCGCCAAGTCTACGCTTCGTTTCCCCAGCATAGAGGAGGCTGAATGCTGACTTGGAAGCCTGGCTGAAGAATAGATTGGAGACTGGTTGGGACTGAAGAATGTTATTTGTATGATATTGAGCATGGACCAACATGGTGACATGAGGAAAACAGGAGGCAGGAACACATAGTGTGCACCAAAGCTTAAATGAATAACAGGGCTAGGAGGCTGTGAGATCAGGTGTATGCTGAGTAATGTGGCTAAAAGCAGAGAAACAGAAGCTACAGTGACTAAATCTATTCGTGATGTGGAGGTGCCGGTGTTAGACTGTGGTGGCCAAAGTCAGGAACCACACGACACCAGGTTATAGTCCAACAGGTTTATTTGAAATCACAAGCTTTCGGACCCTCGGTCTTTCTTCGGGTGCTAGTGAGTCTGAGGAAGGACTGAGGGTCCAAAAGCTTGTGTTTTCAAATAAAGCTGTTGGACTATAACCTGGTGTTGTGTGATTTCTGACTATGTCTATTTGAAAAATGATCAAGTAAGAAAGATCCAGGGCAGAGGTTTTTGCTGAGTGACAAGTGCATGAAGACCAACCTGAGTTATGCGATTGTAGACCGAAAACCAGAACTAATGTTGGGAGGGAAATGGAGAGGAATGGCGGTACAAAGGAGATATAAAGAATTAGTGCGTACTGAATGGCAAAACTGCAAAGTGGGGTGAAGGAGCCAAGGGTACGAGAATGATGTGCACAAGGACAGCAGCCTGTGCAAGAGTAGAGACAAGGTTGGAAGAGGCTGCAAAGACAGGGACAACGGGGTAGGGTCAGGAAGCACCATTGGGAGAGGTTGCAGGTCCTGTTCATCATTACCACCTTGTGGCCATGATATGTGACTGCATAATGGTGGGTCATAGCTATTGACTGAAATTGTAGAATAAATGTTGCCATATTATTTTTAAAATGTAAATATCAACATTAAAGCATGATGAGAAACATCAAATAGTGTTTACGGGCAGGTGGAATTTGTCATGTGCATAGAAACTTATGAGCGGATGCATATTGTGTTGCTTATTTCGGGCTGTGAGCACCATGCCATGCTAAATACAGCTTATTACTTTGTCACTTGAAGCTATGTCCTTTAAAGGCCTCAAATCTAATTACCAGCAATTAAACACTGGTTGAAATGAGAAGCCTGATTTTCTTCTTTTAAAAGTATCCTTACCAAAGTTATTTAAATGATGCATATTCTGACTTTTGACTACCATTTTCTTTATGGTTGTCTTTATTTCCTTTCTTCCCAAGAACATAACATAAAAAAGGGAACAGT